TTCTCCTTTTATAAGTGAATAGTTGAAGCTATCTGTCATTTCTAGTTTAATCTCATCCCAAAAGATACAATAAAATTCAGCTGTAAGACCATCTGTCCCTGGCGTTTTATTCTTTTTAAAAGTTTTTAACGATTTATAGCATTCTTCACATGTAATTCTCTTGTCGCAATTTTCTTTATCAATATTATCAATTGTTGGAATTTCATTTTGAAAAAATATGTTTGAATATTTACCATCCGGGTCATTATTCTTTTTACTATATAAATCTTTGTAAATGATTCTTCTGTTTGTAATACTTGTTTGGGGTCATTAACTAAAACACCTCTTTTATCATAAATAGAATTTATCACTTTATTGGAGTAATTATGCTTTTCTAAATTTAGAAAGTATTTGCTTGATCGTTCACCATACTCACACCACCGTGCTTTGGATCTCATTATACTACTTTGTGTTTTTCTATCCTGTATTAATTCTACTTTAAGTTTGCATGTATTATATTTGTTAACAGTTTCAATATTATTATTTCGGTCAAGTGCTACCTGAGCTTCGTTTAGGTCTTTCAGTGCTGTTTCCTCTTCCAGTTTATGTTCCTTTGCCTTTGTCTTACAATATCTCTTACAGACTGATCTGATATCCATTTTAATAAGATCCCATTTTAACCCCAGATCTTGAGTATCTTTGTGTTTTTCCTTAGAATTTTTAATCTCCTCTCGTATTAACTTTTTATATTCCACATCATTATCCCACAATGAATTATATTTCCAGAACCCAGGTCCCCGTTTTTTAAAATTTTTCGTTTGAAATGTTATAAATGCCGCATTATGATCAGGAGACGGACCAAATCCTATTTCAGAGCTAACCTGTTGATTTAAATCTGTTGATATTAACCAATAATCCAGCCTGCATTGTATTTTACAATTGTTATTTTGCCAGGTATATCTATGTTCTAGAGGGTGCTGATAGCGCCATATATCTTGTAAATTATTAGTAGTTTTTAAGGTTAAAATCTCATTGATTACTTTGCTTTTGTCTTGTACTGATTTTCCTCCATTTTTGTCCTTTTCTGTAAGTGCACAATTAAAATCTCCAGCGCAAAAACAATAATTTGTATCAACTGAATTTACCAATAACTGGTTCAATGTTTGAAAAAAGGTTATCTGTTGGTTTTTATCATTAGGCGCGTATATATTAACAAAACAATATGTATCGCCATCTATCTCAACATTAAGTATTATGTAACGACCATTTTTATCCACTGTTTTATCAATTATATTAGCATCAACTTTTTCTGATATCAGTATAGCTACTCCTTTACTATGACAGGTTCCGTGCGAAAACACTGAAATACCTTTCCACTCATTCCTCCATTGATTTTCTATTTTTGTGTGGCTGAAGGTCTCTTGCAGAAATGCTACACCTATATTTTGATTATTTAACCATCTAAAAGTGTTTATCCTTTTCCTTGACTTGTTAAGTCCTCTAACATTTAGAGTTACAGCTTTAAATCTTACTCCCATTCAACAATCAGTAAAATAGTTTTATTGTTTATTTCAAACAAGAATATATCAATACAGACCTGTTCATACTTACCTGTTGTGCAATATACATTGTATCAATTTTAAGGATTTGCCAAAAGTCAACCAACATGTACTCCATCATCACACACATACACACACATACAACACACCACACATTTGTACATCCTAAAACAACAAACATCAGTTTATTTCAATTTACCTATACACACTTGTTGTTTAGATGTACAGGTACAATTTACCTGTTAATTGCCACGCGGTTTTGATTCTGAGCTGGCAATTAAAAAAAAAAAAATAAAATAAATGGCGCTAAAAAGGCTCATGTTTTTAATAATGAAGTATCTACTGGACTTCGGTGGTCAAATCATACGTCTTCTTTAGGATTCGCTATTACTAAATGTAACAAGACATACTGTATATACGTTTATGTTTTGGTTCCAGTATCTTGTATTAATTGTCTTCATATTGGGAGATCATCATGTGAACTTTGTAGAATGATAGAATGATGAGACACTCTTTAATACTATTGATTACAAATATAGATATACATATAATATACAAATCAAGATAAAAAGTGAACGCCATTGTAAAAATTCTGAGTTATCCAAAGGAAGTGAGTAGCTCCCATAATTCTTTCATATTCTATCATATTCTGGGATTCCCCATTACATCATCTCCCAGAACATCTCCAATCAAATTGCATGATGTGATCACGTGAACAATCACGAACACATGCTCTCTCAGTGCTGCGCATGCGCAAAGTTAAATTTGAAATCGTGGGAATGGCGTTACCATCAGTTCAACATCATCATTTCAAACCTACGGTAATACTATTGAAGTTAATCGATATGATCCATACTTGTAGAGAATACTCATAAACTACAGCAAACATTTCGAGATCCATTTCAATGGCAAGAATGAGGCCTGTTTAAAAAATTTATTTTCGAACGTGCCAATACGAAAGGTCATCTTTGGGAAATCTCCCCCCTGGAGTTTTCAAATGATGTAACTTCAATGTTGGAAAGGGTTTCCTGATAGTGGAGGGTTTTAGCCTTGAATAAATACATTTTTTTGAAAAACGATACATTCATCCTCGACCATTCCTCTAAAAAAACATGACAATAAATCAATTAAAAAACAGGTTTTAGCATAGGGGAAATTCAATAAATGACATCACTATTATCAATTTCATATAAATCATGCTCTCTTTAAAACTCTTGAAGAGTAAGAGACACATTCAGATTAAAAAATGCTAGAATCAGTTTACTTGCCATAAAGACTGCATGAACCTTATTTATTACAGAACATGCATGTCCATTGAAATACAAAGTAACCAAAAATGCAATGGGGAAATTGAACTGGGCCCTTTAGGTCCTTCAGATCTCCTTCTGCAATGATAATATTTATTTCTGCAAAATTTATGATGAACTTCACATCTGATCATTCTTTTTCCTTAACATTAAATCCTCCCTGTCTAGACTGGATTTGATAAATACTACATGTTGCATACATCAATGGTTTTCTATTACAAAAATAATGACTGTATAAACAATAAAAACTAGCATCCTAGGCATCTGAAATATGGAATCAGATTTATATCAAGGACAAGAACATTTCCTGTTTCCAGTGCAAATTCATACAATGATATATCTAGTGATAATTGCATTTGCAATAAAATTAGTAATAAATGTTCTTCACTGTATCATCATACCGTAATATTATAGAAGATAACTAGAAAAATAGAAACTCCCCAGATGTGCGAATCCTACCAAACAAATCATATTTTATGAAATCTCTTGTCAATGTCATATATAATTACAATCTTACAACTGGTATTTAAGTTATCAAAATTTACATTGCTTTTCATGAAAATGGTTTTGCCATTTGGATTTTTTTCCTTGAGCAGAGAGAGGTCCCATTTCAATAAGGAATCAGCAAAGAAAATTTGTCTACTGGTAATTGAGTTATCAAAGACCAAAATGATGCCTATTTTGAATTAAATGTCCATACCTGGAGTTACACGAGGAAACAAAAAGATAGACAAATGGACAGACGGATGGCTTCTCTATATCCCTCCCAAATTCTAATTTAAAGCATCATTCACAAAATATAATTTGCAATATTCATTTACAACAAGGTCATATAATCAGGCATTCAAGGTAGAAATGGTAACAACCACCAATGGCACTTTTTAAAGGTTAAATGTTAAAGCAATACTTCAATTCGCGATAAGAGTTCAGGTGGTGATTTACATAAATATCTCCCATGATGCTTCGCTTTGGACGGGACAAATTTTCATTGGCTTGCCGAACAAGTTGATTACCCTGAATGAAATAAAATGATAATTGGAGATTCAAAGCAACATTGTTTATATTTTTTTGATCTTCAATGGTGTCTGACCAAATTCTTGGAAATCAGTGACGTCACTGGAATTGGACGGCATTTTCAACTACAGATTTCTTCGGATTTAGGTATTACAGTTCAAAAAGCCTTGTTGTATATCTTAATTACATACATATTTATCGTTTATGCAAATTCAACTTTACATAAATGCGCCATTGAAAATCGCACCCCTATGTAATCCAATGGGCAAGAACCCGGATGTAGACGAAGTTGTACCCTCCACGAGAGCTCTTAAAATGAGAGGTAACTAAACTGAACTAAATTAAAATTTATCGCATATTGGGGTATTCAGTTCATACATTGCATGTATTGAGCTCTCTCTCAGCCAATACAAAAGACAAACAGGGCATAAACATGCAAAATGTCACCATCATTTGTTACAGACGCTGATCACCAACCGCCGTAAAAAAAACGGAGACCATAACCACTTTCGGTGGTGACATAAAAACTAGATAATGGACATAATGCTATTCTTCATTTCAGTCAGTACAATTCAAAGGAATAAACTAGATAAAAAAACTATATCTAAATTGCCTATGGCAAAAGGTCATGATGACATGACATAAGGATCCACAACATAAGGTTAAACTTGGTTAAAAAACATAAGGTAAAAGGCAAAAAGGGGCACATGATTTGTGAGATCTCATGTTTTTATTCAAGGTTTAAGGTCTATTTAGATAAGCTAAAATTCCCCAAATCTTAATTTCAAGTCAACCTCACCTTTAACTTATGTCATTTAGTACATTTCTCACTGAACCAATGTAACCAAATGCTACTACTGTAGTATATGTGAGTTCCCTGTTAAAACATTTTGTTTGAATTGAAATTCCAGTTATTTTGATGCCATGGGTTCGAAACCAAGCGCAAATTCTATTTTTCATTTTTGTAACTTAAGAATATTATGTCTAAAATTGTATGCGTTGACAGTTAAAAATTTAGGTTGACATAAAATTGTTACAAAAGTTTAACAAGCATTGTAACAGATTTTGGGACAAAATGCGTGGTTAAAAAAAAGATCGAGGCTTTAACAATATTTATGCCGCCATATTAACGTGAACTTACTGTGCTGTGGAATGTGACTGAAATGGTGTTCCCTGATTGGTGGACGTCTGATTTGGTCTTCTGCATGAACTGACCAAGGTCGTATCTGATTCCTTCCATAACATGGGCATCAAAGAAATCGTTACTTTTCTCTAGAAAGAAAGAAAAAAACATGAATGACTCACTGCTTTTTAGAGGCCATAGTACTTTCCTTAATACCTCCATGAAGCTGAATGAATCTGTCAGGGCAATGATCGATGGTTGTAAAATAAAGGCATACTTATATAATACCTAATGCCAATGCAAAGTATGTAATAAAAATACTTCTATGGGAGGAGAGGGGAGTTAATTATTATGAGATTGAGACATCCAAATACAAATAATATAATATACATTTCTTCTGGTGTTAACAAATAAAAATATAACACAGGAGTCTCTATGTAAATTCCAACTTGTGCTACAATTCAATTTAGGGCAAATAAAAATACAAAAGAAATATAATTTTTTTTCTAAAAACAGGAGTCACTGAGTGTGAGTAAGTAAAAACTGATTTATTTATTGTTCAAGATCAGATATTTTGAATAGAGTGCTAAGATCTAGGTAACCTGCTATTTAAAACAACTATGATAAACTATAGGAACTTTTGACATATTAAATATATATTGAAACTTGTAACTTACACTTGAAACTTGTATAACAACAAAAAAGGCCAAACTTTATAAAGTTTTCTTTGCTCCTTGCGCTTTGTAGTGAAATTTTTACTTTAAATTAAAGATTTCTTGAAATCAAGGAAGGCTTAGTAAATGGCAGTCTCAGGTTAAGGTAAGGCTGCATGTTCGGAATTTTGCAGCATTCCTCAATTGAGTCACATGTTATTTTTAAAATAGGAATTACTCATTCTCCACATTGTTGTACATCTTTCAGTTTTACACAAATGCCGCAAGTGCACTAATGAACCTAGAAGACTGGTTAGAAAAATTGTTTTAGGGTTTAACAATAATAAGGTTTAAAAATAAAGTGGCAAATGCTAAGTCAGGAAAGGGTAAAACATTAGTGACATTGAGCTACATATGATGTAACAAGGGTAGGGTGTTTCATTTTTGGAATTTTTTTCTGTGGATTCAGTTGTCACAAAATGTTGTATTATGGCTTCTTACATAAAATACATAAGAAGGCCTTTCTAAAGAGCCATTATACATCATTTTATGACAACTGAATCCAGAGATATCAAACTTTTTGTGTCAATTTTGATCCACTACACATCTTTTTTTGGTCTCATCTATTCTATATTTGTAGCCTCAAGCAAATGATGACAGCTTGTACTGTTCAAAGAAGTATTCTAAAATCATTTCCATGCTATTTCTGATATTTTAATACAACTAATTATAATGACTAAGTACTATTTCATATTTTTAATATGACTTTATAGTGCCCTACCCCTGGAAAAATATAAGAAAGTGGGCGTCATCAATTTTATCTTTTTGCAGCATAAAGTTAGAAACATGTATCAATAGAAAGCAAATCAATGCATTCAAAACATCTTCAAATGTTACTTGACATTGTAATTCATTTATTACTAGAATATAGGACTCCACCTATTTTATATGTCAGTTTTCAATTTAGTACATGTTTCATAATTGAATCTAATGTAATCATGCTAAATGTGTCAAATAAAGATGGCTTGAGGGGGTGAGGCAAACGATGTCCGATTTGGCTGAATTTTTTTTGTGCTGTCCCTACTATCCATAGATCATAATGTATAAATAGCAACTTGATCAGAAAAAATATTTCAAAAATGAAAAAACCCTAAACAAGGGTTAAACCTAAACTGCCAAGGGTTAACAAAAAGTGGTAAGGGTTAAACAAAAAGTGTCAAAGAAAAAAGTGGCAAAGATAAAACATAAAGTGACAAGGGTTGAACAAAGTAGAAAGGGTTAAACATAAAGTGACGTGGATTACCTGTAAAGTCAAAAGGGTTAGAAATAACTAAGTAAAAAAGTATTTATAAATTGGGAAAGGATAAACACAAACTGGCAAAGGTACATCAAAAAGTGGCAATGGCTAAACATGAATAGGCAATGGTTAAATGAAAGCGGCAGCGGTTAAGCTTGGAGTGAAAGGGTTAAGCACCAGATATCTCATCTGCCACATTGTTCAAGACAATATAGTCATGTCAGGAAATTCATGTTGTAATTTGTCTTTGTTAAGAGGCAGGTGTTGAAACATAAATATACAAAATAATATTATTCTTTTAAATATTGGTAATTACAACAAGGACTCGTGTGACTTATTTGATGTTAACACGACCTTGATATCATAGCTCAGTGTCAATTTGACCTAGAAATGACCTTTTTGATTAAATTAAAGTATCAAATTACACCATTCAGTACTCTCTCCAGAACTTCTAAAACCTCAACTCAATTTTATCAATTCTAAATACAAAGTGCTGGTTTATTACAAATATATCCAATTTTTGAATTACTTGACAGAAATCAATTTTTATCAAATCAATATAAACAAGTACAATGCCTAGTAGCTACTTTAAGCTTAAAATCATTATACGTTTCAGAGTTAATATGCTTTAGTCAGGATAGATATTCATTAACAATAACATCAACATATTAGCTATCTTCTTTGTTTCAATATTGGTGAGGTGCCACATGACAAAACACAATAGAATTTAATGACAACCAGTTTATAAGAAAAATTTACAGCTCATGCTCGACTCAGTTTTTTATAGCCAGAAAATTAAATTAAAGTTTAGTCTCTTTCTTTTGAAAAATTAATGTATTTTGAAACCTGTGGGGAATTCAGTATTTTGATCAACATGAAATGTTTAAATAGTGGTGATCAGCCATTGTATTTAATGCCAAAATATATATACAGATACCCTATAGTGGTGATCAGCCATTGCATTTAATGCCAAAATATATATACAGATACCAAACCTAAAAAGGCTAGTTATAGTACATTCTAGATGAAGTAATATTGAACATCTCTAAATCAAACTAGAGTGAAACCTATCTAAACACTTCTCTCACTGAATGGGCAAAATTGCCACCCCCACAAATAAAACCTCAGTTTGACCACAAGCCATTATGATGAACAAAGACTTGCAATTATTGGTTTGGTGATGACCTGATAACTGCTGAAGTTATCATGTGCTAATTGTCCAGTATACATCTGCTCATTGATTAATAAGTTTTATCAAACATTATTTTGGTTACCCTGCATTCTAATTTGCTGGTTACATTTCCCTCTGAATAACCCATGTGATTTTACAGTTTTGATAATAATAAGATTTTCTCAACAGTCTCAAATGTTGGCTTCATGCTTTTATGGGAGTATAAATTTGTGAATGTTGACAGAAAATACAATGATGATTTCCTCACTTAACCCTACATATAATCCCTAATGAAAGGCATGAATGTGTATCTCTAATTCAAAGAGTGCTGATGGGGCCAGGCTCTTATAAAGGGTACTAATTAGGTTACCAAACATTGTGGCATCCTGGTCTCCTTCAACAGATTATTTCTTTCTGGTTTATGTTTCTTTATCTCTTTTCTGATTTTTAAAGGTTAAATTGCATTTAGTGAATACTTTTGCTTGCTTTCTACAGTTAGATAACTGCCATTTTCCTGGGCTATTTATTTCATCCTTATGAATATTTAATATTTATTGCAACATGTTCCTGAGAACATGTTATCAAATAACTCCCACTCCCCTGCCACCATGTCATATTCAATGATATTCTTCATATGCTGTTGTCAGAGGCATTCATTGGAGATCATATGACATAATGTGTGAATGAAACTATTTTAGTAAGTGCAATATTTACACTAAAGACAGCTGTTCCTAAGTGAACATATAAGCATTTAAAGTCACAAGTTTATCACATTGCTTTTAGACAAGAACAACAAAGGGCTTCATCAGCATTCACCAAAACAACAACAAATATATTCTCATTGTTCCAAAGTGTCAAATGATTTCAATGTGACTAGACCCTGAGTTATATTCATCAGTTTATGAAATGAGAGCAAATATTTATTTTACAGCCTTTAAATGGTGCTATTTAACAAGCAGCTGTTTCTTAAACTTCCTCAAAGACAAAACATGCTTGTGAAAATAGCCAGAATGAATTTTCAAGAATTTTAAAGGGATTGGTTTACCCATTCAGAAAATACATCTAGGTTTAGTGTAATTATACTAAATATATGAAAAAAAATATGCAATGACTATAACATCCAAGCATGAATTCCTGAAATAAATATTCTTACAATCTTAAACATAACAAAACGCCACTTTATCTCATATTAAACAGATGAAATGACTAATAACAGACCAAATGAGATTTTACGCATGGATATCTGCATTTCCTATCTGAACGTATTATATTGTTCCCATTGATTTTTGTACATTCCTCAAATTAACTGGAGTACCCAAGACGTGCAATAGGTCAAGTATTACAGTATTATTGAAGATAATCATGGTAAAGGTTTAACTTCAGTGAGTCTTCAATATTTTAAATGAGCTCAATCGATGTATAAAATTTACAATGAACAAGATCTTAAATATAAAGTGTTTTAATCTTACTTGGAACCTTGCGTCTAAATCCTTGTTTTAAGCGCTTCTTCCTCAGTAGTTTCGATGGAGTATCTTCTCGTGGTTTTTGCCGTTGCCCATTTGCAGGTTGGCTTGCATTGAAATGGCTATTAACATGGCGCTCCAGCGCAGATTGGGACGTATATCTCATTTTACAACCTGTCACAATACATCGGAACGGCTTGTCCCCACTGTGTGATAAAATATGTCTATCAAGCCATGATTTAGCACTAGAAGGCCTATTATAGACTTTGCAACCCTCCCATAAGCATACACATTTTTCTAATGATTTCTGAGATCGCACGTGAGTTTCACGCATGTGTTCAACCAGACTACCTATATCCATAGTGGTATTACAATGCTGCCATTTACACGTCACAATGTCTTTGGTCGAGATTGAATCCTTAGTATCTTCATCTTGCGACGATGAACACGGGGTCCCTGGGTTGCTATAGTTATTAGAGAATATTGGATGGGGGGTACTGCACCCAGAGGACGAAACAGATGACTGGCGGAGAAATCCAGATATCGGTGTCCCCGGGGTGCTAACAGAACCAAGGGATGTTAATGAATACGTTGAGGACTGCCTGGATAATCCATTTATGGCGGGACTACCTGAGCCTGAAGGCAGTGGCTTGAAGAATGAATGAGTATCTTTTTGTAGGTTATTAGCATGTGCTACATATCCGTTTGTCACAACAGGCACTTTTGTAGCGCCAATCGGGACAGGCTGGCACAACATATCCGAATCACCATTTCTTGGTTGGTTTTGATTCAATATGGGACTGGGAGATATATCCATTTTTGGTTGATTTTGATATACATTTTTAGGCTGAGTTATTAACTCAGTTGGTCTGGTCATGCCCATGTTACACGATGGAGCCTTGTTACACACTGGAGTCTTGTTACACGATGAAGTCTTGTTACATGATGGAGTCTTGTTACACGCTGTTGTTTTCTCTGATATTATCCCAGTCACTTGGTGATACAACTGGTTGTTTGTATGTTGCTTGGTGTTGGCCTGAGATTTTGTATTGTTGGCTGGTGGTGTTGTGGCAACCGATGTTGTGGTATGGTGGAGAGGTGGTGAGGCGGTGGCGGGTGCTGTTGTGGCGGCTGGTGGCGATTTACAACTCACCATACTAAAAATATAAAACACACATTAAATAATAATAACAGACATTTGTTATAAATGAGTCTTACATTATTTTACACGTTATCCAGTTTGTAAACTGCTAGACCACCCATCTATCTTTGTTCATGAAAAAACTTTTTGGAAGTGCACATTAACTGTAAAGATCACCATGAGATACCACAGCCTTCTATACCACAGCCTTCAATCAGTTTCTTCCTGCAAATTACTAGCTTGCTGCATTTAACAGAACAATATAAAGAGCATCAGATTGCTATAACACTTACTGCACAAAATCAACTAATTGCAGAATTCTGTACAATGTTCTCCCTAGGATTTTTTCTCAAGTGGGTGCAAAATTCTCATTTTCACAATTCAGTCAAAAATTGGTCAAAATATGCCCATTTTACATTGAAATCTCAGGTAGGTGCAGCGCCCACTTGCTTTAATGCTGGGGGGATCACTGATATATGAGACCTTGCCCTCAATTACATAGACACAAGTTACAGTACATCATAATCAGACATTTCAAAAGTATAAAGCCAGAGTGAGATAATTAAAACAAGATATAAGAGTGAATAGGATTACAACCCAAACTGTTCATGATGTATCTTATTGGAATCATTGAAACTGTTTGGTAAATAAATAAATAAACAATATTGTCCTCATAATGTTTTCTTTAAGTACAGCAAAACCTACATTGAACACCTATGGAGTCACAAATACACATATGTGTTCACTGTAGGTAGGTGTTTAGTACAGAGAGCCGATTTTATATAGAAGTCAGTGGAGTATGTGTCAAGGAAGGATGTCTATTAGAGACAGGTGTTCATTAGAGAGAGGTATTCACTCTACAAAGACAGGTTTAATTGAATTATATAAAAAATTCCTGTTAATAAAGATTTGACCCAATTTGGAAGATTTTTTTTCATTCAGAAAAAAATGATTTAAAAAACCAAAAATAGTGTTTACATTGTGATCGTTTACTCGAAGGTGTTCATATGCAACAATAAACTCATTAACAATAAAACATGGTATATTATCATTGCATGTAATTACTAAATGGGATATTGCTTTCAAATAAATGATAAAAAATTGATATCTGAGATACTATTACAACAGATGATTTAAGGCCCTTACAAATTTAATATTTGTTTAGCACTGTCTGCCTGATCAACACAAACCTACTTTTTCTTGGACATCTTTAGGACCCTACTTCTATATTGACATTTTGTGCTCTTTTTTAGGGTAAAGACAAATCCAGGTGACTAGAAATAATACTGTTAAACGAAGAATTTATCTCCAGGGGCCTAAGCAGACTGAATTACAATATGTCAAACATCATGGTTATAAGAGACAAAGAAGACACAAAGATCATATAGCTGACAACACCAATATTACAAATTAGATTAGATACCTGAATATAATATTTGAATTCATTGGTAATACTGTCCAACTTATTGAAAAAAACTTATGTCAAAAATGAGGAATTATAACTGATAGTATACACAATGCTGCAAATAATTGCTTTGCCATATAATCAATGGGGCCTGAAGATCTGGAGATTGAAAAATTGTGTATAAGCTTACTAGAGTCAATGAGCTGTCTTCAGTATTGATACACTGACTGTCAGAGTCTAATAACTCTAAGGCAGATGAAGCTCTCTTTTAACAGGCCCATAGCCAGGATTCACTAAGGGGGGTTCAGTTTTGAAAAATTTCCAGGGGGGTTCACGTTTGACAATTTTGTCCCAAATATGGCTAAAATCACTTGAGAAGTGCTCAAAATGGTTAAAAACTGCATGATTTTGAAAGAATTTTTCGCCCAAACTCTGCAAACCCCCCTGGCTAGGGGCCTGTTTAAGGATGCAAAATCCTATCATTTGAAAGTGTACACTATTGAGTATCCCTAGCTGCAGTGATAGCTCTTTATATCCTATTCTGATGAACTTCATGTAGTTCATCTAATTACAAATTACATACTTTTACATTTCTATTTTTGAATATCCTATAGAACCCAGAATACCAGATTGTCAGAGTAACTTCTAAATAGCAGCATGGTAACCATAGCTCATATTCTTTCTATGTGAAGCTAATGGGTTACATGCCATAATACTGAGCTTTCTTATTGCCTTTCTATTACCCTGATTGTGAGACCCTTAGTATTGTCAGAGTAACTTCTAAATAGCAGCATGGTAACCATAGCTCATATTCTTTCTATGTGAAGCTAATGGGTTACATGCCATAATACTGAGCTTTCTTATTGCCTTTCTATTACCCTGATTGTGAGACCCTTAGTATTGTCAGAGTAACTTCTAAATAGCAGCATGGTAACCATAGCTCATATTCTTTCTATGTGAAGCTAATGGGTTACATGCCATAATACTGAGCTTTCTTATTGCCTTTCTATTACCCTGATTGTGAGACCCTTAGTTATTAAGAAGAAGTAATACCAGACCATTAATAACGAGGCATTAACATGCAACATGTCACCATCATGGCAGACATTTGTTACAGACAGCGATGACATAAAAATGGTACCCTTTTTTTGAAAATCTTATTTTCCTTCTTCATTGTACACTCTGATACTCAAAGATCTCAGCATTGGTCCAAGGGTATTTCAATTTTTTCCATGAATTGAGTTGAAAAATGAAGTCCTTTGAATGAAAGATGCAAAGATCTTTCTGTTTCACCATTCTACTTGACACACAGTACTCAAGACTTCAAACATGATCCAAATACTCAATATCTTATCTTTATTTGAAACACGAAGATAACAATACTACACTACATTCACTATAAAGGCTTGATTATCAATTGAGTAATCATCGTTAATAACTAACCAGAAAAAGAACAAATCTGAACTTCAAAATATCAAAACATTGAACGACGTTCATAATCAATAACTCTCAAGAGTACGTGCGTGTACCTCTCATACCTGGGTGTGATCAAATCTCAAAATGTAAACATTTCAAATCATTTTCGCGACAAAATTGATGTTTTCTTAGGATTTATTTCCCACATTGCTATAGATTTGAATATCTATTGTAGAGGAGATTGACCACAATTGAGAGTTGAGCTGAAGCCACATATCAGATTCAGCCAATGTCTCATAAATCAATATGGGAAAGAGGTCAATTGGTCCAACAGATTAGACAGTCATCTCCCAAGCATTAAAGCAGAACCCATCTGAGCTTTTGAAAAAAGGCCTGCACCCACATGAAAATCCATTTGCCCCCACTTGAAATGAGAAAATCAGGAAAGATTGCAATATTTTTACCAATTTTGGTCTTAATTGTGAAAATGAGAATTTTGCACCCACCTGAGAAAAAATCCTGGGGAGATCACTGTTAGAGTATAGAAAAGTAATCAGATTTTTTTTCACAATTTCTGATGCTATTGTAGAGACAATTAAGACATTTATTAGGGCAATGTTATGAGGTTGCTAAATGGGAGGGAAGGAATATAAATTATATTTAGATAATAATTATGACATATTATATACTGGCATTAACATGCAAAGTGTCACTACCTGCTATTTGTTACAGATGCCAAACTCTGAATGACAAATGCCAAACTCTGACCACCGAACACCATCTACAAAATGATGAATAGCTAGCTCAGGATCGCCTGAATTCATTGACTAAAATCACCTTAACCTTTACCATGCTGCCTTATTTCAGCAAATATATCCCACGCAACTGGCTTATTTTTCAAAGAGTGCAAAAAATGATATGCCTGGACTAAATAATTAATATCTCAATAACTACTGAATGAATCTGGATAAAATTTTCACAAAGGGAAGATACAGTGGCCTGGCTCATGAAAAAATGTTCTCATGAATTTTTTCGTACATTAACACGACTGGGCATAAATATACCATGAATACTCCACCGGAATCCGCCGCTCCGCCTCTTCGTCTGGTCAGAATCCAAATCTGAATTTGCAGCGATCGAATGTTCAATTTTTCAATTCAGAAAATATTCTAGTTTCTATTTTCGATGACCGTTATCGGCTTCCAAGAGCCTAAAGAGCTCGAAATCGTAATTCATTTCCTCCACATTTTCGTTGTGATCGTATTTGTCCACCATTTTGTACGATTCGTTCACTAAAAACGACTAAAACACTGTTTAAATTGTTGAATTGAGAATTATTTTTCGAAATATCGCCATTTCTAGGTCAACAGGAAGTCATGTTAGGCACTGAATAAATCGGGCAATCTAATTGGACAATACGAATGGCGCGAAAAAGTAAAGTTTTTAAAAGTTTGAAATCGGGCGTACGGGTCCGCCGGCAGTTGTGAGAGACATTTTAGTCTCGGCGGACGAGTCCGCCGGCAGCACGCTAAAGGTTAAATACATACTGACTTTACTTGAAGACAAAGATCATTTTAGTTTATAGGACAATTGGGACCTTATAATTTATATACTAAAGTCATTTCGATTCATATACTACAATCACTTTAATTTAAAGACTAAAATCATTTTACTTTATAGACAAATATCACCTTGATTTTTATAGCAGCCTTTACAGGCCATGTGACTGAGACAGTAGGAAAACACCATGATCACAATCTGATAGCAAACTAAACACTAAAACAATTTCAAGAAAAACAAAGAAACCAGAAACTATGAAGCAATGTCTGACATCTGTATTCTTTGGGATAATGAGGTCACAAACAGTGAAGCCAGCAGTTGGGAAGACAACTATTGATGCTATTGTATCAGACTTGCTAAATATAGAACAATCAATGATAAATTAGCGCTGTAACAAATTGTATGCCAAACTACAGTTTATTAAACTAAACCATGTCATCTCCAGGCCTGTAGCTGTAGATGCCAAAATTCTTTCAAAATTATACAGTTTTCACCATTCTGAGCACAAAGTGATTTTGGGCCAAAATGGTAACATGAACGCAGTGAAGACCGAGCGTGCGAAGATGGTCAAATGTAAATCCCACTTGGAATTTTGAACCAATCCATGGTAAAAGCTGGCTTCGGCCATGTGAACC